AGGAAAATAATCGATGAAGCGAAGCGTTCGCCCCCGGGAAAATCAATTTGTCCTAGACAAGTCCCACGGCAAGGGTGGTTGCTTTTGCTTTCAGGCGTTTTGGTGTTATTAGGATTTACGCATGTATTCGGAATGTTTGTCAGCGTTGTTGTACTGATAATAATGCATGCGCGTTTGTGTACATGGTAGTCTATATTATGTGAGAATTGATTGGCCTGGGTGGATTGATGATGACGGCCTTATAAATCGCTTTCGCTGCTGTTACCTTTGTGGACACACTGAATAAATTACCGCAACTTCAGGGTGTCCAACTAAAGTTTACATAATGGTAAAAACATTTGGGCCTCCAAAATAGATTTACTTTATCAAATATATTTTCAAAAATGTACCTGTTTGGCAAAGTTTCATATTTGCTATTTTAAGTTGTGATTTTTAAGTGATTTTTGACTTGGGTACCCTGAATATTAAATTAGATAGATATCTAATGGCGTTCGCGAGCTCGACATAACTTATAATGTGTTTACTGATTAATATTTAAAACCTTAAAACCCAATATTTGCAATATATAAAACTCTACAGCATTAAAACAATTTATTAAAATATTACTTTAAAGACAAATTCTTGATGTATTTTTTTCATTAATGTAAAATCTAGAAATTGAAGTTCTAAAGTAGTTATACCTACTTTATATACGAATATTGACAATAAATGATTGATAGTCGGAGTAAAAAACCGCGTGTTCCTCCAGCTTTACTAATGCTTGATCAAACAATAACCGACTTTTTCCATGGGGTGGTAACGGTAGCGGCATTTTCGTTTAATTATGCAGCATAATGATAAATGAAGAGCCGTTTTTAATTATTATTGAAACTCCTTCTTGGAACTCACAAGTTTTATTTAGATTGTTATTGTATCATTAATCAGGAAAAATGATAATAGTAGTTATTTACGTAGCAAGGTATTAATTTTTATTACGAATGTGGAATAATAAAATATGACAAAGGAAACTGTTTTTTCTGAAAATGTGTAGCCATTAGCAGGTAATAAAAATAAGTAACTTTTTTACATTTGTTATATTGTAATATGTTAATATTAAAGGTAGTTTAATTGATTTTACAACTTTATTACTTGCATATACCACGGTACTGAAAAATTATTAAACTGGAAGCAGTTTGAACGAACAATTTCATTTGACAAAAATCTTTGAACCACGCTCTTTAAAATACACTACAATTTTTATCTATTATGCATAATAATTTTATCCTGTTACAAAAATATTACAAAATTAAAATAAGCTATTTTTGAATATCGGTATGTCCTTAAACAGTAGAAATTATCTCTGATATTTTTTTGTATTAAGAAATACTTGTATATACCTATTTATTGAAGCCAGCAAATCAGTTAGTAAATTAATTTCACATTGTTTTATTGATGAGTAAAGATGATATTCACCTAGACTGCAAGATTATTTTAATATTTCTAATGAATAATAATTATTGAACATTCGATTTTTGATTGCTAAAGTATTGGCATTCGCTGCTAACCGTCCAATTAGGTTTATTGAACCGCTAATAATTCGAATAATAAGCCATTATAATTGCGCAATCAACATTGTTTCTTGCACGTAAGCTAACGCGAAAACTGTTACCTTTCATTATCGTGCATTGTAAATTATGTCTCGCCAATTGACTTGCATGGTGGTTACAATGCGAAACAATTGTTATACCAAAGAACACGCCGAATTATGCTGCGGGGCTATTTGCATGTGAAACTTTCTCATGCTCATGTAATAAATTGTCGCTGATGAATCTTCTTCAAAGTTTGCAAAGAAATCCGCGTAGTCGAAGTGTGTAGGAGTTAGCAATATTCGTAATTGGTTGGTGTAATTTGATTCACTCATCATGTAGGAAGCTACATCGAGGTTTTTTTTTAATTGTAAATCACGATGACCGCAGTATTCATAATATAATACTTAAAAGGTTATAGTGGATTAAAATTAGCACGTACAAAATACCGAATTTGATACAAAAATAAAACTTGTTTATGCAAGCACCTTTCACGTACGTACCTATCTATCAACAATTTTAAATTATAATTTAAATTTGATTTTGATTTTGATTTTCTCACTACTCAATTTTGGAAACACTTTTACAATGTATTTGAAACATTCGCCATCTTTGTTAAGAGCTGTATCTCACTAACTAGAGCTGCTACAAAAAATCTAAGGGTAGATTTGAAATCAGCGCACCCAAATTAATAAACAGCAGTAGAAAAACTTCATGCAACAAAAAAAAAGTTTTATTTTGTTGCCCTGTGTTATTAGTTACAATCGTGGTAAGACGTGCGAAACGTTTTCATAAATGACCCGATTGTATTTTCATACTTTTGCGGTTGATCGCATGGAAGCATTGAAGGTAGGAATTGAACATGCAAATGTTAAATTTAATTACTTTTGATAGTTGCAAATAAAATTGTTTACAATTAAATATATTCTTGTTATTAGGTAAGAGTTAATGTAATCGTGCGTGTTATTGTGAACAGATTAATTGCTTTGATATAAAACTCAATTAATTGCCAATTAAAGGGTCAATTAACAATGTTTCGATTTCATCATCTTATTTTCTAATATTTATTTTTGATAGGGAAAGGTGGAGGAAGCATTTAATGATTTTCTGCAGATGGATGTTGCTAATGATAGTATAATTTCTTATAATTTTCATTGATTTTTCGGAGTTTAAAGTAATGTGCCGCCCTAAAACTTTAATTAAAATCAAAATTCAAATATTAGGGTTAAAAAATATATCATGCTGGCGACATATCTACTAAAATACTTGAAATTTGAAAATTCCAATTACAATTATAATTTTAGTTCCTACAACATCAATCCATAGTGAAACCAATTAAATAATTTTTAAATTGAACTATTTTAAACAAATTTTAATATATTATAAATAGTTCATACTTATTTGTAGAAAAAACATCAATTATGCAATAATAAGATTATATCGAAGCATTTGCAGCCATAGGCTTTCAACTATAATTGATATTCTCAGAATTGACAACTGCATTAATAAACAATAAGTATGTATGCGTACAGTTTTAATAATTCATTGATCCAGCATGTTTTTGTGGCTGTTTTACGACAGCATGTATTCCAACACAACGGAGTATAGTTTCTAACTTTTATACAAACCTTTTTCATGTTTCAAAAACATATTTTTATTTTCCACACAACAACACCATATTTTATATCCTTATTATGTTCTAATTGCGTGTTCATTACATGATGAATAAAATTTTGTTTCAGGTTACAAGTTTGTTGCTTGAAGCTGAGCGTCGAAAATTGAATGTTTTACAGCGCGAATTAAAAATCGCTCTTGAGGAAGGTGGGTCTATCAAAGCCAAGGAACATCAACGACAAGAATTACTAATTGCCATCACGTAAGTGCAATATTTTTTAAAATGGTTAAGTAAGGTATGTTTATAGCCAGTACTATTTACGCTTATTCCATGTTTTAGTCGGATTCAAGCTCAATATGATCATTTGGATAAGGAATATAGAGAACATGCTTTAGGCGCCATCTTATCGGCGAATAGCAGAGGCTGTGGGAAGGTAAGTTTTACATTAGCTATTTGTATGTAGTATTAGATTTTTACTAGCATTTCACCGTAACTGTTCCATACATTCTGCTATATGGTAGTAGATGGCGCGCAGTGTACCACTACATTACGTATTTATAAAAACTTTCACTTATATTCTACCATTCCATACAACTAAAATAATATAAACAATGAATAGTAAATCACTTTTGAACAGAGTGATTAAACTTTTGATTGGAAGGGAAAGGATTCAGTCGAATTTGTTTTAAAATTTCATATCCCCAATTATTATACAAGTTGTAATGGGTTCCTAGCGTTAATATCAGTGGTTAATATTCTACCCTGTAGGCTTTTCTTGTAATTTGGAAGTGTCTATAGGGAAATCGTGTAGAATAGAGCTTGATATATCAGAGTGCACCGAAGTAGGGAAATAAGAATGTATTGCTCCCAAGAGCAATACTTGTTTAGGTTTAGGCCGGCCACAAAAAGTCCAAAAGGTCCTACAACATGATTTGAAAGCAGCGTTGATAAAAAATTTAAGATTGCGGAGAGATTCTCAAAGTCCAATGATAGTGGTTTAAATGGGTCTCACTGGACATTTGCCATAAAAATTGAAAAAATCCTGGACTAGAAGAAAATGTATTAACATAAATTGTAGAAAATGATTTTATCTTAATTATGTAACTTAAACATAATTTAAGATTGTTACGCATTTTATGTATTTAAACAATGCTGGCATATTATTATTGTACTTAAATATACCTTTTACAAATTGCATTAGAAAGCAACCGGTACACGCCACATCTCCGCTTGATTTGATGGCATGTAGCTCTATAAACAGGGTCATCTTATAAGGGGTGATAAAAAGAATAGTATACACGAATTGCACGGACTTGATATACAAGCAAACATCGAATGACAGCAGCCAAATGACTGTCACCTTCATAATGCTGATGCATGTGTGGAATCGTTTATAGTTGCGAAAGCGTTGTACTAAAGATCTTATAACAAAGAAACTAAATTGCTTGGCAAAATGCGTCTTTTATGCATTGACACATAATGAATTAGTTATACTGCATAAAAAGCTGCTTGATCTTTATGAATGCATCATTTGTTCTTGGAATAGATATTTGCAATTATTGAGCGGCCCACTAGCATGAAACGTGACGATATTGTTATGCCATGAACTGGATTCTCTTAATTCAACGCCTTAGTATTTTTATTTAAGAACCAGAAACAGTCGTTTAGCAGCTTGCGTGGTGCCATACAGACGGTTTTCGTTTATCGAACGCACGGTACTGTTTGGTGAAGGAGCCAGCGCTGTCGCACGTCGCGCCGCCATGCGTCGTCCTTTGAAAACCGGACGTGCATGCAGCAACCCTCTCTAGAAGGGAGTCGACCCCAAACATAACCCAACTGTGTATGAGTTTTCGTGTGTCGCCGTCCGCCGATGCAACGATGTAGTGTTTTCATATAAATTTATTAAATATCATTAATCTAAAACCCAAATTTGCAAGGAATGCATAACGACGTGTTGAACAATAGCATAGTTTATCATTAATTATGCTCGCAAGTGAAAAATCATCGATTTCGCTGTATTTATGATGCAAAGAAGATGATCTAATTCAATAAGTGCATAGTAATATAAGATATAACGTGATAAAATTGGTTAGTGCAATATGAGTGATAACAAGCCAGAGAAACCCAAAATATTAGGGCCTAAACCCACCATAGCCAACAAACCTAAATTTATCCCACCGGTTAACCTTAAGCTTCAGCCCCAACAACAACAACAACAACTTCAACTACACCACTATCAGCAACAGTCATCGACGCAACCACATCCTGCCCAGAAACGTCCACCAATGAAATGTGAGGATGTCTCGTACCATCAACAACAAGCGCAGTTCCATCATCAATTGCAACACGATAAAGTGCATTCAGTGATACAGCGGCCATGCAGCTTCAATCAAGATTGCATTAAGAAGGCACCGAACTCCCCGAGCACAGTATGTTGTAGTATTTTATCGAACACGGCACAAGACTGCTGTGGAGTGATTAAGGACCTAAACGGTAAGCAATTGTGCAAGAACGAGTCGTTAGACTCCAACTCGTCAGACTCCGGCGGCTTTAAGGATTTCATCCAATTGGATCTGACAAAAGACGTACCCAAACATCACCAGCGCCAAATATCTCAACCAGACTTTAATAAATTGCTTATTGCGCCGCAAGGACACACCAACGAAAAACTTCCGACTACTCTTATAATTACGAAAAACATTCCATTGCAACGAATGTTCCACATCAACAACAACAACAGTCACAACATCATGCACCGCATTACAATCAACACCAACCTTTGAGACAATCAAAACCATACGTCGCTAACGCACAGGCATTGACGCCATACCTGAATCAGACGCAGGACAAACTGCTGAAGATCGACTCAACTGATGGCGAGATGTTGCCACCCCCGCCGCCGAGACAGATAAACAAGTTGAATCTGGCGCAGGCGAGCCAATTGTTCTCGGAGAAGACGGATGTCAAACCAAAACAACCGGCGCCGCTGATATCGCAAGGACAGTTTCAACAGTCGACGAAGAAGTTGGAGGAAATGCTGTCACAGCGCATCGGCGGGCCAATCAAGAAGGGGCCAACTTGTTTAATCGAAGGCGAGTCCAGTGACACCGAACAGAAGTTGCTCGTGCAAAAGCAGTTTCAGCAGAAGTTGCAAGCAGATCTCCAGCAGACTGTCAAACATATTCAGGAGAAACAGAGCATCGAGTATAGACTGCCGCAAAATCGGAAGTGGAATGAGGTAGGAAGTTGAAACCCTTACTGGTTCGGTATTAATATAATTTACTACTACAAATTTTATTTGCTTTTTTTTACTGGAGAACATTGTTCTACTTGTGAAAAGGAAGTTTCATTAAAGTCTAAACTTGGCAGCATTCCCTTACTCGTACTGTACTATGAGTCTAAAGCGCATATATTTCTATATTTCACTTGGTATTATGCTCAACGTACAAATGGATACCAACTGTTATCAACCAAAATGCGATATGCCGAAGTGGAGTTTCGGAAATGTAATTCATATTGTGTCATTTTATTGAAAATTCCTATCCACTTGTGTAATGCGAATATTGCCGGGTTGCGCTTTACTCAGGTTCGTGTTTATTTTCGAACATTGCGGAGTATAGGAATGTGCTTGTATACTACTACGAAACAAGGAAGTGGATATATAGGCTCAGTTTATTGTTAGGTACTTGGAAGTTGAAGCAGAGGCATACTCCGTTGCTCTTCTCTTGGCACCTCTCATTAACCATCCTCCGGCACAATGGAGTATGCGAGTTTGCACAAACCACTCGTGTTATAATTACAAACTAAGTGCTCTCGACGTTTCGCTTATTTCAGCAGTATTCAGTAGAAATTAGTACAATGATGAATAAATTATTTAGTACACATTCCGTTTTGTATTTCAATGATCTCAAGTAAGCGATGATATAATATAAAGTTCTGAGATAATTTATGGAGAGAATATTTTAGTACATACATCTAAATCATCAAAACATATCAAGTTTGTACTAGTTTTTTACGTATAACCATTTATTACTTCATTATTCATGCACTTACATAATTTTATAATTTCTAATTACCTACGTTCAACAAAATGATAAAACTAACATTAGTTATAAAATTTAGGCCCATATTGCACAGATAATACTCCTATGCCAGCATAAAAATTTCAAAACACAAAACTCGAACTCTTTGTCTATGACTCAATGAACGTTTTGCCACAACATGGAAATTGACGCCCGACCAATGTAAACGTAAACGTAACCTTGAATTATGTAAATATTATTATTAAATTTGTGGTCATCAATGTTGCGCATGTCTGCGCTACGTGTGCTCAATCACATTAGTCGATAACTGGTGTCCGCGAGGCAAGCAAGTGTTCCATCCGCACGAAATGGCCGCTTCTTTAAAAACTTTCGTAATCGTTTACAAAACAATGGAAATTAACGATGAACAAGATTTCTAAACATGATTAGAGCGTGATGGCAATGGTAAATTATTATTGATAATGAGAAAAAACTAAAGATGACTAATAAACTAAGCGTATCTAAAAAATATTCCAGTAATTATAATTGTATTAACAATTTATTAATTTTACAATTGGAATTTACTTTGTTTTAAATTATATTTTACGTTTACATAATGTTTTGTCATGTAACGTGTCACCCGTCGAGTATGGTCACTGGCATGTCATATGGTAACAATAACAGCACGCCGGTTTGCGTGGACAACTAGTTAACCGGTTAAAACTATATTTATTTTAGAGATCAATGCTTCTCTTTGTGTTGTTTTCGCAGTAACCGCGACGCATGGCTGAATTTTACAGTGTTGTGGACGTGTCAAAAAACAAAAAAATGTTGACGGATTCACGCACGCACCGCATCGATAATTTAAATTTTTAATAATAATAACATTTGGTTTATGTTTGCTTATTTTTATTTTTGTGCACATCAAGTTCTAAATCCATTTATAATTTGTTTATTTGATTGGGTGCAGAGTATTTTGCTGTTTTATTGTGGTCATAGCAAATATTTAAAATTAAATTAAAAATTAAAATTATGATCAAATATAAAATATCTCCACTAATAGATCTAATTATATATTTTTTCTATTTTTATCAAAGTGTATTGTGCTAATCGATTGTACACCTTCTGATATTATTTATTATGTTACAGAGCAACAGAAGTCAGCCGGCGATTGGGCTCAAACACACGCCGAAGTCAAGGGTGAGTGCAATTTGCGTTATCCCATGTATTTAATTAAATTACTCTCGAACCGATTAACACCGCCGTGCTCAAGCGAGAGCCTTCCACGAATATACAGGTTCTGGTTGGTTAACTTGAAATATCAATTTAGGAGGATTTCTACTTTAGAGTAAACAACGTTAAAGGGAAACCACCTTGTTAGCGACATTAATTGCACAAAGAATACCACACAAACTACAACTAAATTTGCCTTGTTTTTCAGTGCGTATTTAAACAATAAGGTATATGTTAATATTTACTAATCAGGGTTATATAACAATGCTATTTTCTTATCTGCATTGTTAAGGCAGGACTGTGAATTATTGTAGAATTAATTCATATTTCAAATACTTAAAATTTCACTTTGAAAATAAAATTTTCTGTAATTGGGTTATAACACCAACATTTTTTAAAATATAAGTATTTAATACTTACATAGGGTTATGCTACATAAAGAATTTACTTATTTCGAATTTACGTTTTTAAGTAAGAATTTTATGCATTCATCTATCAGTTGTGCACTAATTGTGCATTGGACATTTTGTATATTTTATATAGAAATTTCAACAAACACTGCCAAAATTAGAATTTAAAACTTGTGGCCGAAACGAAATACACCGTTGATGTTTTCGTCAATCACTCACTTGTAATGCCTTGGTTGGAAACGGCTGTAATGAACAATTACTTATTACACAGGTACAAAAACATGGTATTAGTCTGCAGGTACTTACAAACATAATTAAAGGATTGAACTTTCCCCTCGATGTTTTAGAGAAATGCACAAGAAACAAATTATGAGTAAAACCATTACAAAAAAGTGTTTTCGACGTTGTCTAATTATGTGTCTAATTACGAATCGTAATTAAGCCGATGTGATAAACAAACGTTGAAGAAGTATCAAGGACGAACTCCATTTCCAAAATTGATTCTGATGTTTTTAATGTTTTTATACGCGCGAGCCCGGTACCTTTCCACCCGAGAGGACTTCAGAAATGAATCATGCCGGGTTCGCCGGCAATGTTTTGCTTTCGTCTCACTCCCTCGTGGCGCGCTCGCTGGCCCCCTCTGACTCAGCGCCGCTTTACCTTGCCCGCTTCACGCCGTCGCGCCGCTCTTGCAGTCTTGCACGCCTCGCACATTCGAAGCGCGAGACCGCGCCAACAACCATCAGAGTTACCCGCCGCTGTGCGTTGCGTACCTTCGTGCATTCAACGTTTTCAATGACGCCAAAACTGTTCTATCCTCGTCAGTGGCACGAGTGTACTCTGTGTATTTTCGATGCACGTACGCGCACCCGCTCGTGCCGCCGAGCTGTTTGTGCTTGCTAGTTTGCTCGCTTGCTCTTGCCAACGTTTGCGAACCTTGGTGTGCGTGCCGGAGTCGGCCGGAGTGCCGAACGTGTGCGACGTGCGACCAAACCAGACACGCTGCGCCGATCAGCGCCGATACTCCCGACCGATCTCGACATTCAGCAGTTGCGCGCTGCCGCCGGTTGTCTGCGCGCATATCCTCGTTTCTCGCTCGCAGTCAGTTTTTCGTAAGCGTTGTGTGAGGCGTGTGTCTGCTTTGCTCGGATAACATGCGCGTGTGTAAATCGGCGAATAACGAATCGCGCGTTTTTATTTGTACGCTTTAATTTGTTTGAAACAAACTACGTTTTCTCGTGATTAAAAACTAAAAAGCTTTTGTTTGTTCCAACTGGGAGAGGTTTATGATTTGTTAAATATACGCTGTGTGTGGTGCAGTGGTGCATTTTGTTGACTGCGTTTTTAATTCGGATTTGGGATTATATTTACGACAGTTGGGCTCATAAAACTCTGGAAGACAATACGTTATGGGCTGGTGGAGTGATTTTCCTCAGTAGGAGTGTTTTTTATCAACATAACTTTACAACAGGCTACAAGAAGTGGAGATTAAACATCTGTTGACATTTATATTATTATAAAAGGTTAGTGCTTATGTTCACTTTGATACAATGCCATTTACCAAAATCAGAAAGCAATACGAGTCTTGAATACGGAATTAAATTGTTAATTGCTACAAATTAATAACAGCCTCATAATGATTAATCTATGAATTAATTGAATGTTTGATCTGGAAACTTGAAATGAACCGATCACAAATTGAATATAAGTATGTTTACAAAGCGTTTCGTTTCGTTCATTCGCGACTGAACGCTGACATTCGGTTGTCATTAGTTTTTTTTATTAATGTTTTGATTCGTGTTTTTTCCTTGGCGTTTTTTGTTTCGTCTCGTGTGTAAATTTGTTGCGTTTGCACGGCCACATAACATGTCCTGTAAAGCTGTAGTAACCGACGTCAACAACAAACGCGTAAACGAGGGAACGTAAAGAAGCATATTCGACGACTACTCTCCTGAAGCCGGTTTTCTTCGACCCCGACCGTGGTGCAGTCCTCGTCTCGTTTGGTACACACGCGCGGCGTGTTCCGTGCGTTTGTGCACCTCAAGACGCTGTGCGGTTTGCACTCTTGTTCTCGCTTTCGTGCGTTTCTAGTTCTTGTTCTGTGCTGTTGCTGAACGTTTTCATGCCTGCGTGCGACTAGCTTCACGGTGCTGTTTTTTTCCGCCAGCCGCGTATATTTGACATCTCAACGATGGAAATCTTTTTCTGTGCATCTGTCTCAAGCACGCGCGAAGTACTTCATTGAAATAATAAACTGTAATGTACTTTTGTACTTAAAAGTACAGCAGGGTAATTTGTATTTAAAAAGATCTACTAAGTTTTTCACTTACCTGTACTGAAAATTTGCTTAGTAATTTATATACTCGATATTCTTATGCATTTCGAGTAGTAATTGAAATTTTGTGGTGGAGAACCTCGAAAAACAGACTTAGTTGTAATTGAAGAACGGAAATGTGACTCTTAAAATCAATGTCGTTTTAGTTTTGAGTAATTTTTCATCGATGTCTCAATTGACGACTCTTAACACTTTTTAACCTGTCACATGTCATAGGTTTAGAATGTAGCTACATCTGATCTTGTTTTGATCAGCAATATCTGCACTTCCTGCAGTTCCTGCAGTTGACTTATCTTTAAATCATATAAATTTCTCTGTGTAGGTGGTTTATAAAAGTCAATAACATTTTATGATGACTTTAATAAAATATTTGGTGTGCGTCGTGTCAAATAACGTACAGATAGTTACACTTAGAATTTATTTATTCGTTGGTGGCATTTATAACGGTATGCTAAACCGACAGCTTGACAATGCAAAAGGCAGGCCGCACAATCCACGTGTAACGCCAGAATGGAAAAGAATGCGCGATATGTTGCACCTGATTTTTACAATGGGGACGTTTACAACGTTACTCGATTGTTGTCGATTGACACCTACACTGGAACCGTCCCGTATCCCTCACAACATTATTCCGACTGAACGTGCTATACCTGTCAAACCCACAGATTATGGCGTGCATCGGATTAACAAATTATGTTCAAAGAATTTACTCCGATACTTCTTCGAGAAAATTGACTGCAAAAAACTTTTCGGTTTTATCTTTTTGTTCGCGTTCGTTTGCGTTTGATTGAACTTTGATTTTAGAACTCGCTCTTTTGTTTGTGTTTATCACGAGTTTCGTTTTTTAAAATTACTTCCATCTGCACGATACGCTTGGCTAAATTAAATTCTCGAGGAAATCAATTAAGGAAATCTCTGGAAAATAAAGCATTATTTAAATATTTATTATTTTTAATTGTTGTAAATCACAAAAGTTTTAACGTTCGCCGTTTTAGGCTGTTTAAAACTGAATATTTTCGATGCTAGTTCGGCAATTAAACCTTATCACCATGCAATAAACAGCTAGAATTGATGGCGGATTTAAATATTACGGCATTTTCCATTTCCGAACAATGCACGCAGAGTTACCTCAGAATTTATTGTTTTAGTATAGCTTTTTCACCATGCTTTGGAATTAAACCTTTTTTAAAATTCATAATAATTGTTAATTGGAAAATACAGCGAATATCAAATTTATTCCACAAACTAATAGTAGCCGATATATTTTCCAAATTCCCACGTTTTTATTTCAATATAATATTTTAATGACTAATTTTATTAATAGGTATACTTTGAATGTTTTGATCTCGGTCAGGAAGTATTTAACCCAAAAAATAAATTAATAATTAAGGAGATATTTATTGTAAATTATAATCAAACTATTGAATTGACACGAATTAAAATCAATTTATGAGCGAGTATAAATCACGATATATCAAAAGCGCGCTTCTCAGTGAACAAACATCGAGCTAAACGATGATTTACTGTCAATATAAATTAGAGCTACATTGTAGTTCATTCAATAATAATCCTAAATTCAACTATTTTGTTTTTGATTTCTTAAAATAAATAATCTAACTCTTTTTGAATACGTAAATAAATTTACTATTTCCATCAATACAATATTCTGCATGTTGCATAGCCATCAATTAAATTTTATGTCTACGTGTAATATCACTTAGAATACGCATTGATTATAACAGTTAAACATTAATAAAGCACTAATATTGAAAGACAAGACAGCATAGCAGGCATTAAACGGTCATAACTTATGTTATTCCGTGCCTTGATGGAACGAACTAATTAAATTAATGTCAATTGAAAATATACGAAACTCATCCAATAAAACGAAGAAAAAAAATCATGGTTCTTATCAGATATTGATGAAGAGTGAGCACTGAATACACGAGTGCAGTTCTGGATGCAAGTGTGGTCGTGTCAAGATTTCGTGTCTGGTCTGAGTAACACGAGTAACTCTTTCGTGTTTGTGAGTATTTATCTCTGAATGAATAAGCGAATAGAACAAGCGATACGTGGAGAAATTGGTCGAGATGGCGTTCAAACACGATTTTTTTCATGCCTCATCATAACGCGTGAAAGATCAAAGCCGAAAGTGTTACTTCAAAGTGTTAATGGTGGTCGGTTAATGTTCACTAGCTCGACATGGCGTATCAGATGAAATATGAAAGAAGATGCCTGAACGCGGAAAAATGAAGGGAAAGTAAATTTACAGATGACCTAATTTATGTTTAGGTAATGTAGAGTAGGATTTATGCTTTGAATATAATGTGTTTAAATGCTTCGTTATTACACAATGAATTAGTAACGTAAATCTGAATTAAGTACAAAATGTTGAATATTATAGAGGCGTGTAAGGTACGGAAATGTTGTGCGTCAGAAAGTTAACGAACATTTTTAGAAATATGGATCAATGTGTTTTAGGCATAGCCAAATGTGTGCAAGACTTAATATTGGGGAGTGCTTTATGTCGTTTGTATCAAATTGAGCCAAAAGCCATTTATGTCACTTGAGACACTTCAGCGTGCGCATACGAGATGCGTGTAATTTTATATCATACGCCTTGTTTTACGATCGCCTGTTCCACGTTCGTGATCGTGAGATAACTATTTCAGCATCTGTGGAATTTATAGGGAAAGCCCAAGATTCAAAGGCAACTATAGTTCCTTCAGACTGTCAGCTTCTTTACTAACTCTTTTTTACCTTTGATTTGTTGTTTTTGCAGTATTTTATTTTTATGTCTCCTTCGAGCAGCAAAGAGGAGTTGAATGTTCGGTGCTTCTACACTTTTCAAACTCTCAGCACACTTTAAGACTTACAACTTCATAAATCCGGTTTAGCCCTTACTCATGAAAGTGTGCACATACTGGCTAAAGTTACGGAAACACTTCCTGTGGATGAGTAGCATTAATTTTCACTAATTTATTCGTGGAAATGGCTAATAAATTAGTTTCGTGGTAAAAGGATTTTAACTTTTTTTGTGAGCTAACGATCTCGTGTGTCTCGTGTACTCGTACACAGCGAAAACTATATACCTATTATCTGAAAATCTATAAAATGTATGTTTGGTGTTTTCGACTCGCCCAATTGTATTTTTTTATTGACTTGAATTTTTTATTTCTTGCACTTTGGACGACGTTTCTTCCGTGCTGCCTTGGTTGTAATGAATTCCATCGCATTTTCGCCTCGCGACGTGTTTGGGTCGTAACGAGAGTTTAACGACTTTTTCCACGTCTGCCTAAATTCATAACTAAACGGTGTAATTGCCGTATACTTTTAACAACATAACAACCAAACAAGGATTATTTTTCATCCACAATCTTGATTTAAGACCTCACAGTTTTGTTGTCGTCGTTGTCGTTGTCGCATTGTACGATTTTTATATTTTCTTAGAGTGCATGCAAGTTATCGTGTTGTAACGTTTGCGCAGCAGCGTCATGAATAAATCCTTTAAATTATTTTATGTTGTGCATGTAGGAAATTCAGGCGATAAAACAACCCACGCTAAGTTTGTTTGTAAGATTAAGCTATCAACAAAATTTAGATATTC